GTTTAGCGTTTTATACGTGATTAAAAGGATCTTAAAAACGACCCTATAATACACAGGCAGCCAGTGCAATTGTTGTAGAATTGGAGTAATGTGGTCAAATTTCCTCGTCTCAGTTATAATTCTGGCGGATCTGTTCTGCAGCAACTGGAGACGGTGTAAAGAACTCTTCGGCAAGCCAATAAAAAGGGAATTTCCAAAATCGAGACATCATCATATCGTCATCATCATTATCACCATTTTACATCATCGTCATGCCATGATCATCTTATGAGAGTGTCCTATTATTATGGCCATGGTCCGGCTATGTTATTAATCTGCAGTGCAGTGGTGGCTCTAGGATATATTTCCTGGGGAAGGGGGGGCTAGAAGATGTCCGACAGGGGGACTTGAGCTCGTTTTAAGACTAGCAACCTCTGGATGGCCGGAATTGGCACTCTCAGAGTAGACTGTGACAGACTCTTTAGTGTGGGCCTATTTTTACTATGTTATATGGTCTGACTGGCCGACGAGCTGCTCTGTTGGGCGGGGAGATTTGACTATCCGGTGGGGAGACTTAAGCCCCCCACCCCCCGTCGCTCCGCTGGCGCCGCCACTGCTGCAGTGTTCTCTGCAGTTAGTTGTTCTCGCGTTTTCATTGTTTATTCTAAACAATTAAAGTAATGATCTGTGTAAAAAAAGCACCAAATTAATCCTTTGGATCCGGAAATCGATACCTTAAAAATCTATGGAAATTTTTACGACTTATAAAAATGTACTACTGTATACATGTACAGCAGGGAGTTGTTGAGTATATAATAACAGCCCTGTAATTAAAAAATTAACACTGCCCTCTGTTGTTAACCTTTCCATGTGTAGTTTTGTGTACGAAAACTAATGAGACGTGTGTTTACTGTATTGTACTTACTTTTATTCTGAAAAGCATAATTTTATACAATGGTCCGGGATAAGAAAAGTGGGTTGAAGGTAAAACAAAAATGTCACTTGTCGTATGATATGTGAGGATCCATAATTGTTTATTAGGTAGCCGAGGTCTAGCTAGTAGGCCTAGGCCCTAGGCCTAGTCCATTACAATACATCCCACCCAACAGCTGGCCGATTCAGGTTTGAACGACCGACTCAATCGGATCCAGGGTGCTGGATGACAGGCTTTTTTAGTCTTCGGCCTAGTATTAGCTTAGCCTAGGCTAGGTGGACTTTAGCCTACTCAAAAATATTTGTATTTACACTGGGATATTTCAAAAGGTCATTTTCAAGCTTTATCACACATTTCCTTAATAACTGGAATATATTATAGGTCTGTTTATTTTCAACCAAAATTCTTTGTTGGAAGTGAATGGGGATGTTGATGATGCCATTTTGATTGATGGTCTGTGCGATGAATCCCTCCTGTCTAGCTAGAAAGAATTAGGTTACATACAACCTTAGATTGATAGGCCAATATTCTGAAAAAATATTGCTGACCGATAAACCCCTGGGAGGGTCACTCAGCTTGACCTTGCTGGTGCATGTGTGTGTGTGACCCAGACTTTAAAGTAAGGCCTGCATGGGGAATATATCTGCTGCACAAAAAAATGGCAGAGAAATCCATCCGCGCATTTTTAAAACTACGGGCCAATTTCTATGGAGATTTTTTTACCTATCTTTAATATGTAACCAATGGCAGTGTATTCTGGGCACCTTTTTCGTAGTGATTTTCTGTAGTTGAGTCGTAAACTGCCCTCAACAGCATCATTGTCATTATTGATTTTGTGCAACTTGGTAGTTTAATTGTTGAATTTTCAAAAAGAATGTGCGAGATCAAAAATGTGATAAAAAGGGTGGGTTTTTGTGAGTAGACTTTTTCATGCTAGTTAATTTTTTTTTAGGCCTAGGCTTTTAATAATTACAATGCTGTCTAATTCTTAATATTGTTTAGTGGTCTATTGATGATAAGCCAGTCACCATAGCGAAATGGGACGGTGCAGCGGTTAAGAATTCTCTTGATGATGCAGTGAGAAAGGTAAGTTTTCGGTCAGTAATGCAATACCATATCTAGCTAGGTTAACACAAAAAGGCATCAGTCAAATTATACAAAAAAAAAATTTATGTATAGTCAAATACTGTATGCTAAAAGAGATGTGGATAATACCTAATAACTGGATGTGCAAATGTGGACCTTTAAATTTTTAGTAGTGCCAGATCGATGATTCCAACAAAACTACAATTAAAAATATGGGACAGGCAACACAAATGTATACAATTAATATTGATTTAAAGATGTGTATTCTCTATTTTAAAATCGGGAAAATTTTCAAACATAGAAAATATTAAATTATTATTAATATTATTATTGTTATTATTTTATTTATTTATTATGAATCAAATTGTATTTAATTGTTCATTTAAAGAGATCAAATGAAAAACACTTCAATGATATTTTTTGGCTGATTTACAGATTTTTTTTACTAAGAAAGTCCGTAAATTGATGGCCTAAGCCAACTTAGAAGTCCATGCAGTTAATACAAATTGAAATTAATTCATGTTTTGAATTTTAAGCAGTCCGTATGTTAATCTAGTTGTTTAGGGCTAGATTTCTTTCATACATTGTTTCACAAATTGTTTTTTTATTCGCAAGGAGGCAAAAAAATTACATTTTTGTTTTCTCTATTAGTTAAATGCATTTGCAAAAAACAGTAAAATAAAAATAAAAATCGCAAGTGCGCATGTTAATCAAATGATAAATAGCACCCTTAAATTATTGCTCAAGATGATGTTGCATTGTAAATAGGTCAGCATTCAAATGAATAAATACTTTATTTTTAATTCTGAAAAAAATAAAGATTTATCTGGAAATTTCATGGGGTGATGGGTTTTATTAAAATATTGAAATTTCTTTCAGATTATGAAGGAGAAATACAAGTATGAAGAGAACTTTAAATTGGTGGATATTCGTTTGGTGATTTGTACAGTTTCCTGTATATTTGCGATGTTTGCGCTTGCCTGGGACTATTTCTACCCATTTCCAGAATCTTGCACCGTCTTATTTATTTGTGTTGTTTCATATCCTTTCAATATATCAACTTTGTATTTATTAATATTATCATTATTTCAACATACAATGCATGTTGAGAAGAGCCATTCCTTTTCATTATTATTATTATTATTATTATGGAAACTACTTTAGATACTAAGATATACACAGATCTTTAAAGGTTTTTTTTTCTTCAAGGCCATTGAGTATCAGTACCAGCATATTTTATTGTCATTTGTAAAAACATTTTACATAGGAATGCAATTGCAAGTAAATAAATAAGAAAGTATTAACAGAAATAATAAAAATGTAACAGTATCAGGTGATAAACTATCCCCCACTGGACACCATCCCAGTATTTCAGAATCAAGGTTTCGGGGCTTGAAAATTGAAATTGTAATTACTTAACATACTCTATATACTGTCTCTTATACACATCTAGATGTGTATAAGAGACAGTCTTTAATATGTAACTACATATGTATATATATATGTATATATATATGTATATATATATGTATATATATATATATATACATACATACATATTAACATTAATATTGATAACAGTTTTTAGTTTTATGTCAGACTTTGTAGTTATGTGGAGGTTCATACCTGACATTCTTATTCTTATTCTTTTATTTCCAATTAAAACAGACAAAACACATAAAATCAACTGGGTGAGCTGGATGGAAACACTAAAGCGAACTTAATCACTGTGACTAATGTCAGTGTTTCCCACTCACCCAGTTTCACATAAAATAAATACTATATACAAGAAAAACATATAAAATATTTAAAAATATATCAAAATCTATTACATAGAAAACATGCAGTTTTTGTTTATTATGTTTGGACAAATTTCAACCCACTTAAGAATGTGAATAATTTCTTAAGTAGAGGAAAGCTTAGCTTGTTTGTGGCGTCCGTTTTCCAATTATCATGTTAGTATTTAATTTATGCTTTGTATATTGACGTTTGTTTGAAATACTGTAATATTATTTTCAGACTCGCACTCAATCTAAATTGAATACCATATTTATTTGAAGAAATGCCACCCTCACTTCTTTTTTCAAATAAATGCCACATGCGTTTATTTTTTCCTTGAATAAAGGTACTTTTTTATGCAACTTCATAAAATGTTATTGTTTCTTCCTTAATGTTTAGACCACTTATTTCATAATGATGGGTATTTTAACCTTTTATACAGCATACATTGAGAAGAGCCATTTCTTGGTAACTCATGAGAAGGATCAGGCAGGAATTGACCCTGATAATGTGTGGGTTGTTGATTCCTGTTTAAAAAGGTAAGACGCTTGTTAAAATTCTACATAAATATTGATTACACTAATGCGTGTTGTATTTTGACGCTTTTTTCTCTGTTTATTATATGTAATAAGTTCATTATTATTAACTTCACCTAGAAGGTTATGCATTCGCAGCTGTTTATATGTTAAACAAAAACTAATGAACTGGATTGCAGTTATCATCATTGGGCATGGACCAAATTACATCCAGGTGTTTAACTATGCGCATCATAGCGAATCCAGCAACAATTATTGTAATGGCTTCTCTTCACTTTTCTTGATATGACAAAAGTCAACTGGTAGTAAAGAAATTGCAGGTTATAAAATAATAACCTGGAACCCTTGAACTACGCACGCCCGTATAAAGGTCAGTTGATAGGTTAACGTAGATTGGTCTTGATGTGGGCATGTGCAGTTCAAACTAGGAAGTGGCTTAATTTTTTAATTTTGTAGCCTTGCAACTCACACAAAACACAAACTTTGCAATAATACAGCCCTCTATTAAGCTTGCTTCCATAAAATCATTACACTCGCTTTCTGTGATGCTGATTGGTCGGTTTTAAAGAAACCAGGCTTAAGTGCCAGTTTGTGATTCTATGAATCCTATTCACAATTTTCCTAATGTTTCCTATTTAGGTTTGATGATATGTACACTCTAGAAATACACTTCACTAACGGGACGAGTAAGGTGGAACGCGAGTCCTCGCTAACAAAATCCGTAAGCAGCTGGTTTGACGAGAGTGGTACGCTTCAGTTGGAGCTCTTTGAAAAAGATGTACAAAGTCTTCATGATAATATCTCATCCCTTGAAAAGAAAGAAAAATAAACGATCTAAAGAACCATTCTGCAACCGATAGGTCATGACCTGCCAATTGCTTCAGATTACGAAAAATGTTAACATCCAGACAATTTTAAGTTACATTGTGCAACAAAGTCAGATTACACAAGAGACTAAAGGTGCACAATAATTGCACTTGTTTTTATTTACCTGTACTTAGATTTTAATGCAAATTCACATTTGTCTAATTTGAATTTGTCCTAGAAATGTTAACTTTCTAGTATAATACATATTCCAAGTATCGAAATGCACGGCATCGTGTTGGGTATTCAATATTTCCACATTAATTATGTCATCACCATTCTTAATGATTACATAATTAATGTTGAAATATTGAATCCCGACACGATGACGCGCATTTTGATACTTGGAGTATGTATTATACTATCTTATATGAGATTTAAAAAGTGGACCATTCGGTTTAACTTTGTAGACAATTTATTACAATACAAATGTAAATTCACGTTAACCAATTGCGCATGAGCCTACAATCATTGCGCTGTAAGATCCTAGCAATTAATTTATTTACTTGATTGGTTTTGACATTTGGATTGTTGTATGATGGGCTGTGGAACAGAGTTGTAAAACCTGCGGCCTCATTAAAAATCACTATATTACTGTATATGTTAAATTGTTGTCATTGTCATCTTCGTGAATAATATTTACACTGTCCTTCATTGGATGTAAAACTTCGATTTTAGCATCTGATAATAGGATATAATTTGTTACTTGCACAATTGTTACAATCATTTGTATGCTTGAAATTTCACTGGATGCCTAACAAACTGATCACAGTTGCTCTTTATTCTCTCTATCATATTTTTCCATATATGTACAAAATGGCTTTTACATGAAGACCAAGTTTCTGCATGGTGCATGCTTTGAGCCATATGATTAAACCTAAAAGGTCATTCTTGCAGGCTATTGCCAAAACATTCTCAGTAGGGAGTTGAAAATTTGTTTCTGTGATAATGACAACAATAAAACACTGTAGTAATGTCAGTAAAACAACTGACTAACAGGAACAGGGTCAGGAATAAATGACCCACAAACACACCTAGATAAGTTTACATTTTTTTGTGGAACCTAAGCAACAATATTTAAGGCGCGGACCTTTGCAGAGGGTCTGTAGTGAAACAGTACCGTACTGGTTAACATATTTGCTGTGTACATAATCGCTTAAATGCATGTACCAGTGATGTTTTATTACACACTTCGCCAAAAGCCAAAAGGAGACATTTAGCAAACTGAAACACATGAGCTCGGCATAATTTCTTTTATTATATTTTGCTTATTTTATTTATTTTTTGTTTACTCTACTGGAATTTCTTGCACTGAATTTATTTGAAGGCCTCTGCATTTTGTATTTAAAGATCGACAATAAAAGCACCTTAAAAATCCAGTATATCTTTCTTTGTTTTGTGTACTTATGAAACCGAAAACACATTTGGATTATATATATGAAGTGAACTTCTAGAAGGATTTTCACACGATAGAAATTCATTAGCATATCTCATGATGCAACAGTGAATGAGCTATACTGTAACAATAACTAATCCATTTTGCAGTGGTGGCGAAAGATTTGCCAGATGCACAGGTCATTGGACTAAGCCCTCGGAAACGGTTTAAAGGATTAATCAATTTTAGAATCTCTGGCACTGCCACCTCCTAGAACTAGCACTGCTAATTTCAAATAGAGAATGAATTGTAACAATACACACATAATAATAAAGCTTAGCTGATTTTATTGATTTAGGTACATACATTGCCAAATGTGATTACATCATAAAAATCATCTTAAAAAAATAGCCATTATTTTCAAAACATAAATACACTAACTATAAGCCCAATGAAGCTTACTGAGTTTATTGTTTTCTTGGTAAGAGAACTTAAAATCAAGAAATCGGGATTGGAATGTGGGTTTAGGTCCACTCCTAGCTACAGTATCATTTCACTTCATTTCATTTATTTATTTTCCAGATTGTAACAAATAACACAAACCTAGCACTATTCTGGCGGATTGTCAAAAAGCAAACAAATTCACTATGTAAAGACTCTCCAACTAGTACTAGAACGGAAAACAAACAGGGTTAATTAAAATAAAAAACAGACAAAGCAGAGAAAAAAGCACAATCACCAAAAAGAAATAAATCAGTAACAGAAGAAGGGATCTAATCCCACATCCGTGGGAATAAGATAAAAACGGATTTGTACATTCATTTGCAGGGGAAGATCCAGGTTTTTCAAAAAATGGCAGGGGGCAACACTAAAACAGAGGAAAGTGAGGGCAAGTAAAAGAAAGGGACCTGGTGACTTGAAAAAAATTTGCTTCATAGATGACTGGAAATACACTCATCTCATTCTAAAAAATCAACAACAATGAATAGCATAGCGGACAATGATGTTGAATAGACTCTTACAAAATATAAATACAGTATATATATATCAATAGAAGGAAGACAATATTTTTCTTCCAGTATTCCTTATGAAAAATTATTTGTATAGTATTGCAAAATTGGCAGAAAATTAAAATAAATATTTTGTATGAAAACAACTATAAAATTTTATATTTAAGCTCTTTTTAATAACTGGTCCGAAAATCTTAAAATCTGGAAAAGTCTAATATGACATATTGCCCATAAGTTTTTTTTTTTGTTTTTTTTTTTGGTGACTGAAAAATCAAATTATTCAACCACCGAGCAAGACTGGTAGCCACGAAAACATTGTATAATGCAGTTGAGTACTATTAAATGCTAAGCATTTGCTATTTCCTGAGTGTCAATCAAACTTAGCCACAAATCAGAACAGGGCAAGAAATATAAACATCTCCCACACACAAGTTTACATGCATTTATGCTGTAACTTTGGAGGGTCGAAAAACAAGAAAATGCTAAATACTGTACTGAATTTGATTTTAAGTATTGGCACTTGCTAAATACTGTACTGAATTTGATTTTAAGTATTGGCACTTGCTAAATACTGTATTGAATTTGATTTTAAGTATCGGCACTATTGCTAAATACTGTACTGAATTTGATTTTAAGTATTGGCAGTATAGCTATATTATTCATATTCCAAATTTTATTATTAATAATACAGATCTGACATTGCAGGATTTTAAATGTGATCTCTTAATCCATAGTATGATAGTACATATTCGCTTAAATTATCACATTTTTTTGGCAAAATGTAACCATGCACTTTAAGACATATTATTGAATCCATTGCTGTACACTGGCCTGGATGGCCTTCCTTGCTTGAACCAGCTGAGGCGGGTCATCTGAGGTCGCTGGGTACATGTTCGCACAGTGCGCAGTACCTTAAATTAAACCAAAAATAAAACAATAATAATTAAATTACTAAAATTAGTTCTGTGAAACTGTATTCCTCATTATTAAAATGTTTTTTTTTTATTTTTTTATTTTTTTTTAAACAGTTGAAAATTGTGTTTGCACTTATCTACTACTTGTTTTTTATTGTCTTGATCAACTAAGACAAGCTCTCATATTGTACAATTGATGCTGTTTTTTAATTATTTGTACTGTAGTCCATTCAACTTATGGGTGCAGTCTTGTAAAAACTCCTCCCGACAAACTGTTTTTTTCTCCCCAACAAGGGGTGCTAGAGGGGAACTTCCCCTTCCCCACACTGTCAGACAGGCATGGATTTCCATTGTCTGATGCCACAAGGTTGTTGGATCATAAATAATAATTTGCATATATAAATAATGTTATTTTGATTACCAATCCCTAATATTGTGGTCTAAAAGAACATTGGGTCATACTAGGCCATAAAAATTTCCCCTGTGAAACCCTACCAGGGATTTTTATTCTGGGACCCTGACCGAGACTCAAGTCTTCCCCCCCCCCTCCAACTCGCAGGGTTCATTGGACCCTTGTTGGCAAATTTCTGGAGTGACTGCTGAAGAGAGGGCCAGCTCTCCCCGGATCCACTGAATGACAAATAAAGATACAATCATTACCATTTATAAAAATAGCTGTGGCATCGTCTCCAATGTCTTTGGTGATTCCTAAAGCATGCCATGGATCAATGGAACCATTTGGAAACACGACCTTCGACACATCCACCCCATATCCCCCATAGTTGGTATTTGTTCTCTTTATATTCTGCTCAATGGTGGACTTGTTGAACCTCTCTCCATACACGTCCTGGCAGAGTTGGATGAAAAAACTGAAGGAAAAATTCATAAATGTACTAAAATATTCTAGAAAAGTTGACTTCGATAAGGATGACAGTGTTTAGAAGTAGTGCCTAGGTTAGAGGTGTTGAGAAATAGTGCCTACAAATACTTTTGTGTTGAAAAATGGTGCCTAGCCTTGGATGTTGATGAAAAGTGCCTAGCGTAGGGGTTGATGAAATGTGCCTACCGTAGGGGATTGATGAAAAAGTGCTTAGCCTAGGGGGTTGATGAAATGTACCTAGCCTAGGGGGTTGATGAAATATACCTAGCCTAGGGGGTTGATGAAATGTACCCAGACAAGGGGGTTGATGAAATGTGCCTTAGATGAAGTAAGAAAGGATTGCAATTACACTCAGATCAGAGCAGTATTTACTCACCTTAACGGAATGTACTGCCCAAACGGTTGGTCCTTAGAGTCTGTTGTTTGGAAAAATGCGAACTCTGAGCAAGTTTGGTAAACCCACTGGCGGCCTAAATAAGTAAATAATGTTATTACTCTTTGTAAATCCATAGAAGTGTTTGATGAGAACAATAATATGACTTTTAAGTACACAAACAATAAGTGAACAATCTGAAAAAGTAGGCAACAAATATATGGAAAACTTTTAAAAGTAAAATCATAAATATTATGGTGGACAGGAACAAGATCCATGAATTGTTTTAATTAGGAGTGAGACTCCCAGTAAGGATGTTAAGTAGTGATGTATTTACAGGGTGCTCAGGGGGGACACACTCTAAAATAGTTTTTGCCACCCCCTCCCCCTCCCCACTGGAAATTATGTAAGCAAAAAAATTACACTCATGTAGTTAAAAATCACCTTACTCATAATATGATCATCAAGCCCTCCCAAATAACATTCACACCCACTCCCGACATCAGGGGTCCCCCCATTAGACCCCCACCCTTTTCAATATTCCTAGAAATGTCATGATAAGTGGCCAACATGGGGAAATCTTATATAACATTTGCTAAAACAAGATCAAAAAAGAAAAACAGAGCTGTAAAAATTTCCCCATTTCTACATTTACCTCCTTCTGCAGCTGCGCTATCCCATGATACTTTGCGGTACTCTGCCAACATGCTATCGTAACTGATGTCCAGGCATTTCTCCTTGTAAGTGGACATTATAAGTTTGTTGAACTGTGCATAGCGCTCAAGCACTTCCCCACCCGATTCATTGCACATGATGTCACAGATTGTATCAATGGTTATTTCTGTACCAACAGCACCCTTTTAAGAAATTTAAATTTAAAAAAAAAAAAACATTACAACTTTAATACCAAAGAATCATTCACAATTAACCACATTTGCATGAGTGAATAAAAACAGTACAGTTGTGGGGAGGGGGTTAGATACCTTATACACTTTTACAAATGTATTAAATGTTGATTTAAATTATTCTGCCATATTAAAAAAAAAACATATAGGAATATTTACACTTTCAAAAAGGGGTTGGGGTAGAAATAGAAACAATCAGTCCCAGTTTGTGCACTTGTTAATATGTTGATAATTATGAATTTGCGGGACCTCCATCAGCTGTCAAGTTTCCACTTGACAGATGACGAAGGTACCAAAAGCTGCTGAAAGGAAATAAGGCACTGACTTTGGAAGGTAACTTTTTCTATTATAGTATAACATAACAGAGTCAGATAGTAGCTTCCAAACCATGATATTAGTTTGTGACCAGAAAAGTACTTCATTTTGCTATTTGTCCAGTAAAGAAATTTTTATGGGGTACTTATCATGGCCATTCTTACAAAGGAATGCCTCGAATCTGTCTCTTATACACATCTACCCTACCAGGGATTTTTAGCCCTCCCAAATAACATTCACACCCACTCCCGACATCAGGGGTCCCCCCATTAGACCCCCACCCTTTTCAATATTCCTAGAAATGTCATGATAAGTGGCCAACATGGGGAAATCTTATATAACATTTGCTAAAACAAGATCAAAAAAGAAAAACAGAGCTGTAAAAATTTCCCCATTTCTACATTTACCTCCTTCTGCAGCTGCGCTATCCCATGATACTTTGCGGTACTCTGCTAACATGCTATCGTAACTGATGTCCAGGCATTTCTCCTTGTAAGTGGACATTATAAGTTTGTTGAACTGTGCATAGCGCTCAAGCACGTCCCCACCCGATTCATTGCACATGATGTCACAGATTGTATCAATGGTGATTTCTGTACCAACAGCACCCTTTGGAAATTAAAATAAAAAAAAAAAAAAATTACAACTTTAATACCAAAGAATCATTCACAAATAACCACATTTGCATGAGTGAATAAAAACAGTACAGTTGTGGGGAGGGGTTAGATACCTTATACACTTTTACAAATATAGGAAATGTTGATTTTAATTATTCTGTCATATTATTAAAAAAAACATAATAGGAATATTTACACTTTCAAAAGGGGGTTGGGGTAGAAATAGAAACAATCAGCCTCAGTTTGTGCACTTGTTAATATGTTGATAATTATGAATTTGCGGGACCAAGTGGCCACTTGAGAGATGATGAAGGTACCGCGAAGGTACCAAAAGCTGCTGAAAGGAAATAAAGCCATTGACTTTGGAAGGTAACTTTTTCTATTATAGTATAACATGACAGAGTCAGATAGTAGCTTCCAAACCATGATATTAGTTTGTGACCAGAAAGTACTTCATTTTGCTATTTGTCCAGTAAAGAAATTTTTATGGGGTACTTATCATGGCCATTCTTACAAAGGAATGCCTCGAATCGAAAAGTATTTCAACAGTACTTGGACCATGGCATTTGTTGTGTTTAAAAAATTGATTTTAGTAAATGTGGATTAAGGTAAACAAAGCTTACCTCAAACTTCCTGTTATCTTTGTTATACTGAACAACATTCATAAAGTTACCGACTAGGCTCTCAAACATATTTGCAATATCATTCTTATTGGTTCCATTTAGTGGGTTACACAATCTGCAAAATACAAGATATAAATTTATTATATTGTACCATCATAATACCATCAGCATATTCATAACTATCATAACCACCAACATAATCATAATTATGGCAAAGAGAGTCAAACCAGTCACACCTCGCAAATCATGTCTCCAAGATAAATGGCCAAATCATGCTGGAATGTCGAAATTTTTGAAATCTATTTTAATGCACTAAACTAACCTTTGTATATGTCTATTCGTCATGCTACGTTGTTATTTTCCCAACTTTGAATGTTAAAATAACTATTCTTAACGATTTGTTGATGGTTTCTGTTCCGAGAAATGCACGAAATCGTAAACTTGGAAGGCATGATTTTTCAAATATTGTTCTTTAAACAGCTGTATGTTTAAGCTCCTGTAACTTTATAACGAAATGTCGGACTTAAATGATTCTTTTACCATTTTATAGTTCTCACTTTACTTTTTAGCCCTGTACTAATAATTAAAAATTGATTTTTGCAAGGAGTGGCTGGTTTGGCTTGTATTTGCTACAATTGTTACCATCACCATTGTCATTGTAAGTGTTTAAATTAAATACAATCATTACCACATCACCATCATCACCACCATTATCATTACCATCATCAACACCATCACATCAACATCATTATTATTGTAGAGTATTATTTGAAACCTGCAACAAAAAAGGTATGTGATTTTGGTGGATCCAGGATTGCAGGGGTGGTGCAAGCAGTAGTCAATGGGGGATCTATAATCTGAGGGGGAATGTTTCTGTGGATATTCCCCCTTATAGGTCTGGAGTTTAGTCATTTTAATCTCTTAACTAAATATGTTCCACACTACTTCTGGAAAGGAAGCACCCATTTCGCCACCCAGCCTGGACCCACCACTGGAGTGTGTGTGTGTGTATTCCACTCACTTAAATGTATCTGTAAGTGTTCTCCAACCCAGTGGATGGTCTAATAATGATTCTATCATATTTGTGGCACTCTGAATATTATCATTGCATTTTGACCCATACTTGCTTGTTGCTAAGGAGTCCCGTACAACATCTAGGTACCCTGGGAGAAAAATCAAAATATTACAAATATTAAGAATCACTTTTTCATACAACTGTTAAAACAACTGTTCAATGAGCAACAAAGTAGAAATTATTGTTGACATTCCCATTAGAATTAGTTCAAGCATACCCTTACTTTCTTCAGCAACAAAACATATAATTAAATTGGTTTTGCAATCCAAAAACTGTCGATTGGGACAAACAATAACTAAGGAATGATGATGACTATAATTATTACATAGCAACCTCTTGGCAGTGTCGGATTCAATGGGGGGGGGGGGGGAACCAATTTTTTCAAAATAAAATAAAATAGAGAAATAAAGAAAAACTTTAAGGCTGTGAGTGCCACATCCCAACCATGGTGGGGTTGAGGTGATACCCTCTATCTGTGAATATCCCTCCCTGGCCCCCTATATTTCAAATTCCTGGATCCGCTACTGATTGGTATATACTCCCTTACCCGTAAAATCTAGAGTCGCTTCAACAGGAGCACTTGTTGCAACAGCGCCATCTACCAGATGAGGATATTTTAGACGGAACCAGACAGATAAACTACCTAAATAATAATTATATAGATAACATTTTAGGAGATTATGATTTGGCATGTTCATCACCAATTATCATTGATATTCTCAACATCAACACCTGTACGATTGGAATTCTTTAGTGTGAAATACACCAAAGATAACTCACAGAAGTCTGGAGACCTTCTGGTGAAATGGGGACAGTATACAGTACGGTACACTGGGACACAATCCTCTACCATATTGCACACATAACAGGCCCAACACCTAAAACATCATCCAATGTGGAACTGAAACATGCATTTCAGCCCTCCAACTGAAACACAAGTAGAGTAGCAGATGGAATTGAACCAGGGACCAATGCTATTTAAAGATGTTATACGTTCAGCGCACACACAGTGGCTACCAACAGTTTAACAATAGCCTAAGTTACTCTTTGATATCACCTATACCACTATCATTATCAAGAATGTAATTGTCTCAAAGCACTTGAAAAGATGTAAAAATCATCATCATCTCTAAAGCCAGCTTCATATTCATCATCAGTCTTTTTATAACAGCACCATCACCATCATCACTATCATTACCATAATTCTATCACTAACATTTTCCTCATCACCAACACCAATATCCCTATCATAAAATCATTAATCATCATCTATACCAGTGCTGATATCCAGCCTCCATACGCTTTGGTACTCTCTTCATTAAGGCAGGCACACCCTGCCTACTGTCAAACGAATGTCGGCCAATGACGCCACGTCCGCTCTCATTGAGCACTAGATGATGCAACACTGTCAGCTGATTGTTGATGGCAAACTGAGCAAATTGTCATAAAAATGAATCCATTGCGCATGCCTCATTTATGCCTCATTTGCTTTATATTTTGTATGGAATCGCATCAGTCGACAACCGTTATGCGCAGTTGTGTGCTAGCTCTATCATCATCAGTGTCTTTATCATACATTTCCCTATGTAGTCACCTGGATATGATCCTCCGAACGACACCCATTTATTGTCTGTCACTTTCATCTTCGATGCTATATACTGTCTAAAATAAGCCAGGTCTGCCAAGCCTTGCTCACTGCTTAGAAATTTCAGGTTTTCTACACTTAGATCACTGATGAAAACAATGAGAAATACTGTTTGTGTTGAGCCATAAACAATAAAAATATTTCTTAAAAAGGAAAATGTTTTCACTGGTCAAGCATTCAAACCACAATGTAAATTCATTTGATTAGGGCAAATGTACAAAGGATAAATGTTTATTGGTACTTGTTTATCCATTTGTTGATGTCAGTGTCTAAGACATTTACCTATTTAACAATTTCATTTTTTCACTTTCAAAAAGCAAACAACAAAAATCCTGCAGAAATTAAATCATCACAGTATTCATATGGGCGTATGTGAAGGCTGTGTAGGTGGTTAGGTGTGTGAGGGGTTATGTGTGCAGTGTGGGGATTGTATGTGTGTGAGGGTTGTGTGAGGTCAAAGGCGAACGGTGAAAAATCTAAGAGGGGTCGAAACGAAAGCACAGGGGGCAAGCTGAACTCGGAGCAATTTAGCGAAGCTTTCAGAATTCGCGGGGTGCGTTATTTGTGAGTGAAGCGAGCATATTTAAAGGGCACTTTCTTTAAAAGGGGGGGTCGACCGCACCCATCGACCCCCACCCCCCACGGTACGTCCCTGGAGGTGTAAAGCCCTGCCTAGACTATCAAATTTTATTTGACAAAAAACATGTGACATGCCAAAATATCACATCACAGTGACCCTCAGGGGAGGAGAAGGTTATTGAAAAATGCAACATTTAGTCCCGAGCGCATAGAGACCTCTTTTATCTGCGCTATATAAATCCATCTATTATTATATTATTATCATGACCATAGGCACATCTTGACCATATATGGGCATAAAACAGTTGTTTGTCAAAAAAATTTGATAATCTGGACAGAGCTTAAGATTTGTGTGTGGGGTCTATGTCCTGAGTTTAGGGGATGTGTGTGTTGTGGTGTTGGGTTTTGAGTATGGAATTTGTGGGGGTTTTGTGTGTGTGTGTTATCACCTCATTCTCAAACATCCTAAATTTCACATTTTTCATACCATACACTGTTGATATATGGTACGTATGACAAGATAAAAGAAGTGTGGATTAAGTACCTGGTAGGATGGCTTTTACCATAGAATCGGTGCTCCAGCATAACACATAAGGCATTGTAGGTTTTGGCAAACTCTATCCATGTACCAGTAACCATCCATATAGGGTCAGCCGTTCCTTCACCACCGATCATCAAAAACACAGGACCTCCTTCCTTAAAGAATGTGTCATTGACAAAATACCTCTAAGGATAAAATGGGAATATATTAGGACCTATGTAAATGTCAACTTCTTCATGGTTTTTACATGCCTGAAGACCAAGAAATCCTCAAAATTCTGACAGAATAAGATGGAACTTAATAGGCAGTGGCAATTGTTACACCAGTTTTTAAATAATTCTGATTGGATATGTTAATGTCCTAATCCATACATACACCACATAGTTACCAATACCAACCTGAGAGATTTGAAATGCGTGACTACAACAGTTTGGTGGGGGTGGCGGGTCCAGGGTCCCGGGGTCAGGGGCGAAACCCTGGAGGACCGGGTTCCAGTCACATAATCAACGGTTGTTTGTGACATAATGAACACGCAAGACCACACGCAACTACTAATTTCTACTAATAAGTGCATGGTTGGCCGGGTTGTTTTAGGTTGTTTTGGTCGGGAAAGAGAAATTTTCTCTGTAAATTGATTATCGAACAAAATAACGACAGCTCGCTACTGACTCAAGCTACTGCATGACCGTTTTCATATTTTATTAAAACCAATTTTCACTAATTTTAAATAAATTTCCCATTAATTCGTGATAATTCGTTATCACGCATAGACTTGTGC